CTCTGCTGGAGATAGCCTGGTAAATCCTTTGGGTGTAGACCTGGGCCCAGGTCGGACCGTAGCCGTCGTAGCTCCTGTCGGCATGCCTCCACCTGCACTCGCGCCTGTAGGCGTACCTCCTGGACCACTGCTCCCTCCACTGGTGCCGCCCCGCCGCTCGGCTTCTGATATCAGCCTATGGCACCTCTCTAACTAGCTAACTCCTCTTCCTTACTTCCTGCAAGCCTAAAAGCAGCCCGCAAGGAGTCAGGCTCAAATACCCGCACGGCCGCCGGTATCTCCGGACTGAGTCCCGCCATGCATAGTCCCACCAAAGTCTCCTCCGACACTCTCTTGCACTGATTTCCCAACTTAAATAACTCAGCTTGGTATTCAACCACTGTCCCTGTCTTTCGCAACATAGCCATCTATTCCGGGGCCCACCCCTCTGACTTATCAAACTGATAGCGGAGCTCCTCCTTGAACATGGGCCAGGTTATTAGTGTCTGCGCCCCAGCATAAGACCGCTCCATCCACTCCCACCATTGCAAAGCATCACCCTCCAGGTAGAAGGACGCCAACTGCGCCTTTCGTTCCTCCCGGGAGGAGTGGTTCTTAAACCACCTGTCAGCTGCATACAACCATAGGCCGGCATCCTCCTGTCCATTGTACTTTGGAAACTCAATGTTCATAGGTTTAGCCCGGAACACCAAATCATCATCCATATCATACCCACTAGGTTGCCCACCATACCTGTCGTACCTCGAAGGCCCGCCACGGTAGTCTTTCTGGTTGGGTGGCTCCTGGTTCCATTCCCAGCCCATCTCCTCTTCATCTGGGTACACTTTGTACGCCTCCATGCGACTTTTCTGCCTCTGACCAGCCTTCCAAACCCACCTGGAGGCCGCCCCCCATTTTCGCAGAATCGTAACAGGAGGTCGAAAGGTCCCTGATTCTGCCTGGTAACCTCGGTAGGTCGTTCCTCCTCTGCTGTCAGGGTAGGGTCGGATCTGGCCCGGTTTGGTCGGTTCAACGTCGGACCCAACCACTTCGGTCCGCTCGTTACTGGTTTGACCCATATTGGTTCACCAGGTTCGGGTTCGACCGAAACGATTCGGTCTGAGCTCGTCCCCCTGCCCAGACTGCTGCCCTCGACCCATTCCTCCCTGATCCTTCTCCAGACCGCCCCCGAAATGGACTGGCCCACCAGACTGAGCTCATCCTCCCTCGGGTCTGACCCTAACCAGCCTAGCCCGTTGGGCTTCCATCCACGCCCGAACACCTCATCCTGGGCAGCGACCTCGTCCAGCTCCACATCCTTTTCCTGATCCATGTCGTCATACCTCAATTCTTGGGCCGTGGGCGTGGGTAACAGCCCTGATTGACATTGTGGCCCAAAAGAAACGTGGCCCGCACGTTCGCCGGTCGGCCTCCCCATCACCGCTGTCGCCTTGATGCTGACGTTGGCCCCCTCCTCCGCCACCTCCTTTGCGCTCGGGCCACCGCGTCCCTCGTCTGGCTCGGCCGCCTTGAAGCACAAATGATACCGACTGAAGCACACATTATTCCAACTAATTACCCATTGGAAAATAAAAAAGAGAGGGGACATTGCACATACAGGCTTCGAAAAGACAAAATAGAAAGCGACGTAACTGAGGAAACTTACAGAGGAGGATAAACAAATTTACCGACGGCGATGTTGTTTGGGAAGTCGCAGTTGCAGCAGAGGGGAGCGTCTATTGACCTTCTGATGTGAAACAGACGGAGAGAGAGACGTGGAGTCTTCTGCGAGAGGAGTCGATTAATTTTTCGTGGGGCTTCCGAGATAGACACAGATGGAAATAAAGGCAACAAATGCCAGGATCGGAGAACTATAGAGATGGCGACGATGGGAGATTTCGGGAGCAAATTGAGTACTGCGGAAGGACGGTCGGCTGGTAGAGAGACGGGAACCGAGAAGAGGTGAGATTTCCGGACTGGAAAACTGAAAGCGAGAAAGAGAAGGAAATGAAATGACAGGGAAGCCCCTCCGAAGTGTGCGGTAAATCGAGGAAGGGCTGATGTGGCGAATGCCATATTTTGACATTCCATTATAGTAATTTGTAGATCAGAGCCTTATGTGACTGAAAGGTCTTGTGTTTGAATCCCGGTGACCCCCATTTGTGAAGCACATGCATTATGGTGTTCAAGTCATGAGCAAACGAAAGTCGTTATGAGGTGACTGACTTTCGTTTGAGAGAGTGTTAGTGAATGATATATGATCCACGATTGAACCTCTCCCAACAACTCAAGTTATTAGGATCAACTGGTTCTTGACACCCGCATGACTGATTGAACCAACTGAATAATTGTTGACTCTGCACAAGGATTGGCTTCATTCAATCACCATGTTTGTTATACGTACAAAATAAATGGCGAGCAATGTATCTTTATGGGGTAGTTAGCATAAATAGTCACAAACCTTTGTGCTTTGTACAAAACGGTCACAAACCTTTGTTTTTGCACGATTTGGTAATACAAGTTTAAGCGTATAACAAAACGGTCATTCCGTCATTCTCCATCCAAAATTCTGTTAATTTAGTCCAGTCAGCAGTCCATGTCATCAAAATTAATAATAAAATAATAAAACTTAACCAAACAACCCAACCCATCCCGACCCACCCGGACTATACCCACCTACCTCTCTCACTACCCAGCGGCATCGCATTCTTATTCTTTCATCGAGCGGCCGCGGCGGGGATCTGCAGACTATTCCACGAAGATAACCGGTTTCAATCGGCTAGTGAAACACAGATGCAGGGGAACGACATCCGAGAGATTGAAGGTCGATTGCAGGTATGACGACGAGACCCGATTTTCCCCAACTACTTGGTCGGGGCCGCAGGAAAATCGGTGGCGATTCGACTGAGATCTGGCGGCCGGCAACGGAGTTGAGCTACTAGAAGAAGGACGAGTCGAGGGAACTGGTGGAGAGCCGTGGCAATTTGTTCTTGATCGACATCGATTCATTCGATGATGGCGTTTGCCGGCGGCACCGAGTCAACGACGGAGGCGGGTGTGGTGGTGAGCCGGATTATTCTTCTTCAGGATCTAAAGAGCTGAAGCCATGCCTGGGGAAGAGCAGCAGTCGCAATGGGGAAAAGGGTTGGTTAAAATGGGGGAAGGAATCTTGAGTGGTACTTTCAAGGATTGGGACAGAGGAAGAGTTCTGGGAAATTTCTGGAGAGAAAGAGAGCAGTGGCCCAGAGAGATTTTTGGGTTTTTAACTCGGACTGAAGATAGGTTAAGACGGCTGGGTAGTGAGAGAGGTAGGTGGGTAGAGTCTTGGTGGATTGGGTTGTTTGATTAGGTTTTATTATTTTATTATTAATTTTGATGACTTGGACTGCTGACTGGACTAACTTAACAGAATTTTGGATGGAGAATGACGGAATGACCGTTTTGTTATACGCTTAAACTTGTATTACCAAATCGTGCAAAAACAAAGATTTGTGACCGTTTTGTACAAAGTGTAAAGATTTGTTACCATTTATGATAACTACCCTATCTTTATGTGTAGTTAATGTTGTACCCTGAATAAGATGTTGCAGTCTGTGATTCTTTTGTGACATTTGTTCAGCTGCAAAGTGTTGGAACAAACGAGTTTGAGGAGAGGGTAAATTATACTTTCGTGTGGTGTTTGTGAGATGTCAAGTGTCTGTATAATAATAAATAAGGTTTCATACTCCCCGTAACGACAATTACCGCCACAGGAACAGAGGGGACATCAAGCACCAGTGGTCTAGTGGTAGAATAGTACCCTGCCACTGTACAGACCTGGGTTCGATTCCCGGCCGGTGCATAATTTCATTTTTATCTTGGTCAATTACAAAATGGTGACTGAACTCTTAGGAGTTAGGACCAGCACCGGAAATGAACATATCAAGCCGCAAACTCACACTCACATTACTCTTCTTAAACCTAACGGCCACTAACTCATTACTTCAGAGTTCATAATGTTTCTTCATATTTTCTTATCCTTCGACCACAATTATATTTTCCTTTTTATTTATGATGATTTTCGATAATTCTCACACTATTTATGAAAAAAATAAGGCTTAATACCCCATTTTGGCCCGAAGTTTGGCGTTAGTGACGATTTTGGCCCCAATTTTCGAATATTACACTTTTGGCCAGATTTTCAAATTTATGGACGTAAATGGCCCGTGTTACATTTTTACCGTCAGAAATGACGGTGAACTAATTTCCCCGTAAGTGAGTCAGCAATATTTGCTGACTCGGAGCGCCACGTCATTAACTTAAAAAAAAAAAAAATGAAAACCAAAACCCGACCGTTCCCTTTCCTCCCCGACCTTTCCCTTTCATTCCCCATCTTTCCCCATCTTTCCCCTTCTTTCCCCTTCTCCCTTCGAAGAAATCCGACCCACCAGGAATACGCCCGATAGATCGCGCGCCCGCCCGGTGAATCTCTGCCGGCGCGGCGAAGATTCGTCTATAGTCGACGCGCCCGATTGACGAATCAGCCTTCCCCTCTGTTCGACGACTCCGACCTAGAAGCAAACAACGCCGATCGCGCGCGGTGAATCTCCAGTCGGTGCCGCCGATCGCGCGCGGTGAATCTCCAGTCGGTGATTCGTCTCCCCCCTTCGCCCAAGTATTCACTAAGCTTCCTGCCTTCTGTTGGAGAGAAAAGCTACTGTTCGTTGTCTTCTTTTTGTGGGGCAAGTTGAGGTCGGGACCACAACCACGAATATCGGTTTTTCATCTATACAGGTAACGATCTTGATGTCGTTTTCTATTGTTTAAGGTTTTCAATTCTGGGAAAGCCGCCGCACTCAATAAACAATTGGCTTTTGTGCTCTTTTTGGGTTAGTGAATATGAAGCACGTGAAAGTAGTTTAAAATTGGCTGTTTGTATGTGTTTGTGCTTTGTTAACCATAAAGAGACCATAAACAATATATAACCTAATCTGTCCATATTGTACAGGATGAGCATTCTATTTGTGCTTCGTCATGGGGGTATGCTGGATACATCAGAAGCGGTTCCAAAGTATGTTGGTGGTGTTGAAGACCGGGTTGATGTGGCAGTTGATGTTATGTCGTACTTTGAGCTTGTGAGTATTTTGATTCAGGATTTCGATTACTTGTCGGTTGAGAAGATGTGGTATTTGACTCCGGGACAGAGCATGGAGCATGGTTTGCACGAGATTGCCAATGATTCTGATGTGATGAATGGGTTACTTGGAGATGCCGAGCTAGGGGAGGTGGTGGTGTTTTTTGAAGCAACCAAGTTTCTCGGTGAAATGGGGGACAACTATGGGAATAGTGAAGATGTTGCAGACGAGGAAGGCGACAACTCTGGCGTTGCAGAGTTCATCCGGTTAGATGATTATGAAGCTCAGACTTCAGATGAGGAATATCATGAGATTAGGGCCCGTTGTCGTCGCATGAGACAAAAATGCATGTTTGAGGCGACTGGATTGGGGGAAGAGGTCGGCCTAGTATTTGTAGATGAAGATGAGGTACAACAGAGTGTGCAGCAGGAGGATGGAGAGCCAGAGGTACATCCTACTGTGAACGAGGAAGAAAATGCAGGGGAGGGACAGCGAACAGATAACATGGATGATGTTGATGTTGACGTTGAAGGGAGTGAAGCTTCTTTCTATAGGGGTTCCGAGGACTCAAATCATGTGAGGGGAAATTTGGATGAAGAAGAAGAGGTGTCTATGATCGACAAGTGTCGATTTTATGATCCAAATTGTGATCATAAAACACTGTCAATTACCACACATATGAGGTTTGCTAGTCCCAAGCAGTTTCAAGAAGCTATTACAAAGCATTCAATCGAGATTGGAGCTGATATTAGATGGGTGCGCAGCAGTGAGAAGAGAAAAGAAGCTGTGTTTGCCCAAAAGTGTGGCTGGAGGGTGTATGCAAGTTGGTATGGGAAGAGGGAGACTTTTATGGTGAAAGGTGTTGGGACTCCTCATGACTGTCCGCGTACTTTTCGCATTCGAGGTGCTACTTCGAAGTGGATAGCTACTCAATTTCTAGATCGGTTTAGAGTGGAGCAAGATTGGGATGTGAATCTCATGGCGGCTGAGATAAAGCAGAAGTACAATGTGGAGGTGACACGGAAAATCTGTTACCGAGCTCGGATTGAAGCTCGACGCATTCTCCATGGCTCCTTACAAGAAGATTTCAATCGGATTCGGTCATATATAGGTCATCTACAGCGAGTTGACCCGGATGGAACCTTCCGGCTAGAGGTGGATTTGGACCCAGGATCCGATAATGTATTCTTCAAGAGATTCTATGTTGGGTTTTCAAGCGTGTGTCGTGGATTCTTGGAGGGCTGTAGGCCTTTCTTCTGTCTAGATGGGTGCTTCTTGAAAGGGGAGGTCAAAGGGATGTTACTTAGTGCTGTTGGAAAAGACGGAAACAACCACATGTACCCGATAGCATGGGCAGTTGTTGAGTCTGAAAACGGGAGTTCGTGGACATGGTTCTTGCAAATATTGAAAGAACAGCTTGGGCTACAAGATGGCAATGGGTGGAAAATTGTTTCAGACCAACAGAAGGCAAGCTTCCATTTCCATCTTATTTAATGCCTCGGCTAATTATTCAATGTGTTTGCTTCCTAGTATTACCATGCATTCTATAAATAATGCTTGCTGGAATTTTCTTTAACAGGGCTTGGTTGAGGCCATCCATGAGTGTTTACCAAATGTTGAGCATAGGAAGTGTGCTCGACACGTACATGCACACTTTAAGGTGAAGCACAGGTTTGATTTGGCAACAGATCTTTATTGGGAGGCTGTATATGCAACCAATGAGGCTGATTGGAGGGATGCTACAATTAAGATGCAGGCTCTTGAAGGAAATGTTTATGAGGATTTTATGGCTGCAGAACCGGAGCGTTTCTGCCGGTTATTTATGAAGACTCACTCGAAGTGTGCATCCGTGGAGAGCAATATATGTGAGACATTTAACAGCTGGATTATGAAGTTCAGAGTGTTGCGGGTGATTGCTATGCTAGAGGGAATTAGAGTGGCTGTGATGACTCGGCTTGTCGTCAACAAGAGGAAGATGAGACGATGTACTGGGAAGTTTCCTCCAGTCGTGAAGAGCAAGCTAGAGAAGTTTATACACGAGGCTAGAATGTGTACTAGTCATCCATCAACAGCTTATAAGCATGAGGTGCAGGTACATGGAAAGGGGTACGTTGTTGATTTGGAGTCTCGAACCTGCACTTGTGGATATTGGGCTCTTAACGGGATTCCATGCTGCCACGCTATTTCTGCAATTCGGTCTATGAGATTTGATCCAAATGGTTATGTGAGTAGGTACTTCGATTTGGCATATGTTCAAAATGCCTACAAGTACCCAATTCCAGCTTCAGAAGGGCCACAAGCGTGGCTGCCCATGGAGGGTTACAAGGTCTACCCGCCAAAAATGAGGAAACTGTCTGGCCGTCCAAAGAAAAACAGAAGAAAAGAGGCAGCGGAGTTGCTAACAAAGCGTGCTAAAAGTGCTAGTGGAGAGATAGCTACTAGACACAACAATCGGGTTCATTGTACTCGATGTGGGGTAGAAGGCCATAATAGGAGGAGCTGTACCAACCCAGCAATACCACAACCACCTCCACCAGCTCAACAAAGGCCTAAGCGAGCCCCAAAAAAGAGACCTGCAGTACCACAACAACCTACTGAGAATAGAGTAAGTCAATTTCATATTTTGTTAATGATTGACATGATTTACCAAGTTAATCTAATTTCCTAGTTTTCTTATTGTTCAGGAGCCGAGTAAAAGAAAGTTACACTGTTCTAGGTGTAGGGCAGACAACCATAATTCAAGAACTTGTCCGTTGAGGGTTGGAGTTCAGGTATAATGTTAAAAACATCAGATGTAGCTGTGCGTTGTATATTTCAGCTTAGTGTATAATTACTAATTAGAGTGAATTACAGATTGAAAGCATGGGAAATTGTAGCCGACAAGTCATGGAGCGGGAGGTGAGGAGGGCTATGCAAGGAATCGGCACCTACATTGATCCTCATACTGGGAACATGTATTCTCGAGTAGGATTCGACCATCACATTGTATTTTCTGTTTATTCTCTTTCTTTAAATGTTTCTAACCATATGTACTATTGCAGCTAAGTACAAGGGTTCCACAAGAAGGACGTAGTAGCCAACCAACTGGACCAGATCAGCCGCCAATGAATAGCACACCGCCTCCAGCCTCTCAACCCGGGACACAGTAGTCTGTGTTTGAAGCATCAATGGAGAGCCCCTTCTTTTGTATTTTGAACATGCAGTAGGCTGTAGCCATGTATGTGGGAATTTGAACTAAATATAGGTGATAGCATCGTATTTGCACGTGTTTTCACTCTGGTTTCCTGCCCATTTTGGCTCGAATTGATTGTTCCTTGGCCTATTTTACGCTAGGTTGTGTTCCTTTGTCACATTTCAGGTCCTAGCACATAAAATGAAGCATAGGCGCAAGTTTCAAGTCAATCAGAGATCAATCGATGATTCGGGAGAAGAAACTCGGGTATGACCTGAAGAAGAATGGATTTCTACCTCACTTTATGGACAAAGAATCATGCAAGCTTGTCATGAAAAGAAAGAGGACGAGACTACGAGCGTCTGGGTTCAAACGGCGACTGATTTGGAGTCCGGACGAGGGAGAAACGAAGCTTTGAACAGGAGCGGAGACAGAATTACGGGCAGCCCCTGACAAATTACGGCGGTAATTGGCCAGGGCATGCCCGTAATTTATTGGCCGAGCCTTCTACCCAAAATTCCCTCACGGTGATAAAATTACGGGCAAGACCCCAAGAATTACGGTCGTAATTCCCAAATTACTGGCGGTAATTGGGAAATTACGGGCGTAACTTCTCCCCCTGCAGCTTAAGTAAAACGCGCGTTTTGGTGTGAATTACGGGCAGGAAGTGATTACGGCCGTAATTCTGCCCGTAATTCGCCCAGAGTCGGGTTTTTGAAGGCAGATTCGAGCCAAGGAGAGGGAATTCGATTTTCTGGGCAAAAACAGAGTTTTAGAGAGAGAAAGAGCGAAGAACAAACCCTAGGAGCTGATTTGGAGTGGATTTCTCATCATTGAAGCCCAGATTGCGTCCCTAGGAGTGAAGATTGACATCCCAGAGCAGATTTTCCTCATCTTTATGAGTATGGCTACTCTGATTTCTGTTTTCCTTTCTCTCTCTATGGAGTAGAACCTTTCTCTCACTTGGGTATGAAGAACCCTAGTTCCTTGTGTTAGGGATTTGATTGTAATGACTTGGGATGATATTATTGTTTGATTTTAATCGAATGATGCATGTTTCATGAATTGATTTGAGTCTGATCAGCTTGTCTCAATTTCTGCTTCAACCTGAGATAGATAGAATCTGATTAGGTTGTTAGAGCTTCTTCATTCGATAGTAGGAGATTGGCTATACGAGAGTTAGCCAGTTTACTGCTTTGTACTGGTGTTCTTAACGCCAGTAGTGGAGTTCTGTGTTCATAGCCTCAGCTTTCTATCCTGGTGAAGACTAGTCGTCTGCCGGGTAGTTAGACTGAGAGGGCTTGGTCAGCTTAAGAGATTCCAAGCTACTGTCGGATCTTCCGCAGTCTAATCAACAGTAAATCAACCCAGGGAATTGCAATTGAACCTAACTAAGGGGCTAGGGGGACTCAATCCCGAGTGACTCTTAACTGCTTTTGAAAACCGAACCATTTCCTGCTTTCTTACTGCTTTTGCTTTAAACAACAATCACTCGAATTAGTTTGCTAGATAATAGACAATCACGGAGTAAGCAGTAGATCTAGACCCCGGGTTGATAATATAACTTGCCTGTTACTGCATTCCCGGACTGCGATTACACTTGGTCGCAGTTTGGTGTTGTGTTTTGGCGTGTCAAGTTTTTGGCGCCGTTGCCGGGGAACCTCTAGATTATTGGGGAAACGTGATAATTTGTTACTCTAGCTTTTTCTTTATTGCATTTTTCTTTTCCACCTGTGTGCCTTCACGGGTTGTTTCTGCTGACTGTGTGCAGGTAGTGCATGACCCGTAGCCAGTCGGGAGATCTACTACCGTTAGACCAGGAGCTTGAACGAACTTGCAGGAACTTCAAGCGGGCTCTAAAGGCACGACTGGCTGCGGAGGAGGAGCTACCACAGCTGCCGTTAGAAGAAGAAGAAGGCGAGATGGCTGATCCAGAGAACCGTGATATGATCCCAGAGGAGCAGACCATGGGATCCTACTGGGCCGCTAGGGCTGCGGACATGAGGTCACCTATTCAACACCCTCAGGTCCCAGCCAACAACTTTGAGGTGAGCACCTCCGTGATCACCATGCTGCGCGGTTCAGTAGTGTTCCGTGGTAAGGAGGGAGAGTGCCCTCGATCACATCTCAGGCGATTCCACGAGCTCATCGATGGAATCAAGATCAATGGGGTACCAGCAGATGCCATCCAGCTAAGGTATTTCCCATTCACTCTGGAGGGGCAGGCCAAGGAGTGGCTAGACACTCGACCTCCGGGCTCCATCACCACGTTCGCCAACCTGGCGGACAAGTTCCTCACCCGCTACCATCCTCCATCCAAGACAGCTGATCTCCAGAAGCAGATTACACATTTTGCTCAGGATGAGGATGAGACCATCAGGGATGCATGGGAGAGGTACAACAGCCTTTTCCTCAGGTGCCCCAATCATGGTTTCAACGATGCGTTCAAGGTGGGCACCTTCTATCACGCCCTCTTCCCGGAGGACAAGCAGCTGATCGATTCGGTTTGTGGCGGGAACATGCTGACCAAAACCCCGCCACAGCTGAATCAACTCTTTGAAGAGATGGCGGAGAATGGTTATGATTGGGGCACTGCCAGGAGATCGAGGAGAGTACCAGGCCGGGGTGTGCATGCTGTGGGCACCCAGTCATCTGATTTGGTGCAGGTAGTATCGAAGCTGGTCTCAGCTATCGATCGTTCCGGGATGATTCCAGGGACCGGACAGCAGCAAGCGATGCTCTGCCAGTGGTGCGAGAGCACCCATCATATGGTGGAAGACTGCCAGGCGATGAAGGAATCGACCACACCCCAGGAGCAGGTGAACTTCATCAACAATGTCAGGCGCAATGACCCCTACAGCAACACGTACAATGAGGGGTGGCGCCAGCATCCTAATTTCTCCTGGGCTGGGCCAAATCCCAGACCACCAGCTCCACAGGGACCACCGGGCTTCCAGAGGCCACCATATCAGCCCAGACAGGGGCAATTCCAGCAGCAACAACAGTCTCTCTATCAGCCCATGCAGGGGCATGCTGCTCAAACACAGCCGCGCCCTTATCAGCAGCCAGGTGCAGCCCTTGCTGCCCCCGTGCAGAATGATCAGATGGCTGACCTGCGGGACTTGGTGGGTTCTCTAGCCAGTACCAGTGCTCAGAAGTTCAACACCTTTGAGCAGTTCATGGAGAAGGCCTCGGGGAAACTTCTGGCTCTTGAAGCTGGTCAGAGGAATACACAGGCTGTTTTGCAGGATATCCAGACCCAGCTGGGGAGCGTGGCCCAGGCAGTGGCTCAAAGGGCGCCTGGTACTCTACCAGCACAGAC